GTTGGTAGTGGTGTAGTGATTCCTATATATAGGAGAGGGTGAGTGTGTAGTAGGTAATGAGTAGGTGAAGTGGAGTTGGTAGTGGTGTAGTGGGTTAGGTTTAGTGGTGTAGGTGAGGTGGTAGTGGTGTAGTGGGTTAGGTTTAGTGGTGTAGGTGAGGTGGTAGTGGTGTAGTGGGTTAGGTTTAGTGGTGTAGGTGAGGTGGTAGTGGTGTAGTGGGTTAGGTTTAGTGGTGTAGGTGAGGTGGTAGTGGTGTAGTGGGTTAGGTTTAGTGGTGTAGGTGAGGTGGTAGTGGTGTAGTGGGTTAGGTTTAGTGGTGTAGGTGAGGTGGTAGTGGTGTAGTGGGTTAGGTTTAGTGGTGTAGGTGAGGTGGTAGTGGTGTAGTGGGTTAGGTTTAGTGGTGTAGGTGAGGTGGTAGTGGTGTAGTGGGTTAGGTTTAGTGGTGTAGGTGAGGTGGTAGTGGTGTAGTGGGTTAGGTTTAGTGGAGTAGGTTTAAGTGGGTGAAGTAGGTGGAGAGTAGGTGGATTTTAACAAATACCATAAAGTGCAACTATGTATTCGAGCTCGATCAAGACCAAAGATCAACCAAGACAAGTTTGAGCAGAGTAAAGTATGGCAGCTCTGCTCAGTTTCACCCCTATGTGAAAAGGCCTCACAGCTGGTAAGCAAATGCCCCCATTTTAATTGAGTGGCAAATAGTTATAGCAAAAACTAGTGGAAAAAAAAGCAAGAAATAAAATAGACATTTTTGTTATGTTTCCAAGATTCTACAAGCACACCCAAATTCATCAAATTGATTAGACAATAGCAATCAATTATCAATTATATGCTACACTAGAAAAATGAAATGCAGTATGATGGCCAAAAGAAATGCATATTTACCTGGAAAATCCAACATCACTGACAAAATCAAAGTCGTAAGCATATGTAGCATAGGAGTCGCAACAAATGATGTGTTGAACATTTTCATACTGAGGATCCGGGAAGAAGTGACCATACTGTAGAAAATGGTGGAAGTACTATAAGCAATCCAAGACAAGACTACAAGTTTCAAACAAGATGATATGATAGCTTACAGAATGGCCAGTTTTGAATTCAGAGGATGCCCTCAACCGCAGTATACAGTTGAAGGCATATGGACGACTCAACATACGATACCTGCAAACAAATTGTTACGGAATAATTTAGTTGGATCAAAGTACTGCAATGTTTTTAACCTTTTAACACTCTTATAAGCTGAATTTGAACTAATAGATCATGTATTTGCATACTACACAACAATGTTAACAACCATTTACTATCTGGTTTGTGCAATGTAATGAAAATACTCCTCATAGCCAAAAAAACATTGTCCACGTAGAGAAAGGATAATGTTTTCGGAAAGTACATTGAATGCATCACATACTCTTTGGACATTTGATTTTTGGGATTGGTTTGTGGAAAGGCATCAGAAGTTGGTAGGACCATGGAACTCTTTTTCCAGTAATATTCAATTTGTAGTGAGAAGTGGGGGAACATGCTAGATTTTGGAGTCATAGATGGTGTGGATCAGTGTTTTTTAAGGCGAAAAGCGAACCGAGGCGACAAGGTCACCTAACGCCTAAGCGCGAGGCGACGAGGCGAGGCGAGGCGAGGGCTTCATCGAAGCGAGGCGACCAGAAATGATATTTTTTTAAAATAAATGGTATAGACAAAAATATAAATATTTTCAAGAATCATCATGCAGTTATCATTCCAAATACTAAATATCCAACAAAGACAAATACAATCCACCAATCCAAAAGTTCTAAAAATCATCTTCAACATCAAGCAAATGAACTTCTTCTTCATTATCATTGGCTTCAGCATATCCCTCTGCATCTTCTTCCTCTCCCCCATCTGAAATTGACTCTTCCTCATCAATAAGTTGTAATCTAGGCCTAGCTGCTGATTTTGAAGTTGAACAACCCCTTTCTATTGCCCTTGTTGATCTAGTTCTTTGACTACTTTCCTCAACTCCAGCAGCTCTAGCAACATCATCCCATGTCAAAGTATCATCCTCAAAGACAAGTTCCTCCTCCATCCTCCCAACCAACCACTCGTTACTTTCATCAATATCCGTCAAAGTAATGGGATCAATAGTGTCACGGGAATTGTATCGACGTCTCAATGCTCTATTATACTTAACAAATACCAAATCATTCAGACGTTTTTGAGCTAACCTATTTCTCTTTTTGGTGTGAATCTGCAAAAATTCAAACCAAATAAAAATATTCAAATTTTTATCTAGGTATTAATAAATTTAATGGTATTCATATTCACTATAGTTAAAGATAGGTACTCACATGTTCAAACACACTCCAATTCCGCTCACATCCAGATGAGCTACAAGTTAGACTAATAATTTTGATGGCGAATGTTTGCAAATTTGGCGTTTTAGAACCATATGCACTCCACCAATCAGCTGTTGATTATAACTAATTAATTAGAAAGAATATTTAAAATATAAAAACTAACTAAAATTACTTAAGTATAAAATATAGATCACCTGGTGCCCTTGTAGTTCTTTGTCTAATGGCCAAAGCCATCCCAAAGAGACCATCAGCTTTCTTATAGGTAGTCAACTCTGCGCAAACTTTATCTTGTGTCTTATTGCTTGGGACCAACCTTTGCATGCATTTATACAGGCCTGACATGACTTCCTTATCTTTCTCAATATTCGGATTTGCGTAAAAATACTCTGGGTTTAAATAATACCCAGCTGCATGCAAAGGCCTATGCAATTGAACATTCCATCTATTGTCAATTATTTCAAAAAACTCCTTGTACTTCTCTTCATTTCCATTAAATGATTTTGCAATGGCTTCTTTAGCCCTATCCATTGCCTCATAAATATATCCCATGGGAGGCTTTCTCTCACCATCAACCAATCGCAGTACATGAACAAGAGGACTTGATATTTTGAGAGCATAAAGAACATTGTTCCAAAAAGAAGGCATTAATATGACTTGTGCGGTCTTTTTACCCCATGGTTCCTTCGCCCATTTGCTTGTGGTCCATTCCTCTGAAGTGAACATCTTCTTCAAGTTGGTTTGTTGTTGATGAATCCTTGATAAAGTTAGAAAAGCAATTGCAAATCGAGTTTTTGCTGGCTTGATCAAATCCTTGCACTGGGTAAATTGCCTCATCATATTCAACAAACCAGAGCGGTTCACAATATAACCATGCACCGCAATTGCCTTTTCAAATGTCTTGTTGAAGTTGGGAATTTTGAAAATGTCCTCCAACATCAAGTCCAAGCAATGAGCTGCACATGGTGTCCAATACAAATGTGGCCGCTTTGCCTCCAAAAACTTCCCCATTACAAGTTTTTTTTTTTAAAAAAAAGAATAATATGAGAATTGCATATTCATATTATAAGTAAGTACTAAGTAAATGTATACTACTAAGTTACTAACCGGCCAAAACATTTGCTGAGGCACTATCTGTAACAACTTGAATCACGTTGGCTTCACCAATACGCTCCACAAAGTTGTCAAGCAATTCAAATATCTTATTTGCATCCTTGGATAAGCTAGAAGCATCAACAGATTCAATAAACATTGATCTTTTTGGGCAATTAACCAAAAAATTAATTAATGCTCTGTTTCTTTTGTCCTTCCACCCATCGGCCATTAAAGAGCATCCATATGTTACCTAATCTTTTTTATGATCCTCCATGGTCTTATTAGTGTGGTCTACCTCTTTCTGCAAATAAGGAACCCACACTTCATGGTAGCTTGGTGGTTTCATACCAGGACCATATTGCCCAAAAGCTTCAACCATTGGCCCCAAACTATTGTAGTTCACAACATTGAAAGGTATACCCGTATCATACATCCACCTTGAAAACCAAACAAGAGCCCGACCTCTCAACACCTTCTTGCTAGGATCATTATCATAAATTCTTGTTTGCTTTCCCTTGGCCTTACGATTTTGCACCGCAACTTCCGGATCAAGGGTGAAGTACACATCCATGGGTCCCTTTTGCTTTGGTTGTTTGGAACCAACAGATTTGGAGAAGTTACTTCCTTGTTCTCAACGGGTAGAACCTTGAGTAGAAACAGGCCTTTTACCATGTTGATTTATCTCAAGAATTTCATCATCATCATCGTCATCATTATCCATCTCATCAAAATTAGGAACCATCATCAATTGCACCTTTGATTGACTTTTTTGAGACATAGTCTTTAATTTCATCTTTGACATGAAATGGACATTTTTTACAAGCAACAACATTTTTATAACCACCAGCAAGATGTTGCTTGACTCGGTAAACACCGACATTCATTTCTGTGTCGCAAAAGTTACAAATGAACTTTGAAAGGTTTTGGGGATTTACCATCCGTGCATATTGCTATGCCGGATCTTTTTTACTTTCACTCGACTTCGATATTAATTCTATCTAACAAGTAATTCAATGTTTCAGCATAAAGAAATTAAAGAACATATTTTAACAACATTAAAGAACATAAAGAAATTAAAATAGTTGAAATTAATTGAATTAAAATAATTAATTGAATAACCAAGAAATTAAAATAATTAGGAAATTAATTGAATTAAAATAATTAATTGAATAACCAGGAAATTAAAATAACCAGGAAATTAATTGAATTAAATTAATTGAATTAAAATAAACAAATTAATTGAATTAATTGAATTAAGCAAATTAATTGAATTAAAATAATTAATTGAATAACTAGGAAATTAAAATAATCAGGAAATTAATTGAATTAAAATAAACAAATTAATTGAATTAAAATAATTAATTGAATAACCAGGAAATTAAAATAATAAGAAAATTAATTGAATTAATTGAACACAGAAGAAAAAAAAATAATTGAATTAATTGAAAAAAAATTAATTTTAAAATAATTGAATTAATTTTAAAATTTAATTTTTGCGAATTAAAAATTAATTTTTGAGAATTAAAAATTAATTTTAAAAAAAAATTGATTCGAACAAAGAAGAAAATTAACCAGGAAAAATTGAATTAATTAAAAAAATTAATTGGTTCGACAGTGTTCTTCTTCAAGTCGAAGTCGAACAAAGAAGAACAACAGGTGAAGTCGAACAGGTGAAGTCGAACAAAGAAAGGAAGAACCAGATGAAGAAGCAACTCACCTCGATTCGATTCGACTTCGGCAGACGCAGACGATCGATGAACCAGATGAAGAAGAAAGGAAGAAGACCAGACGAAGAGATTCGACTTCGGCAGACGATCGACGAACCAAGTCGATCTAGGGTTTGGCTTCTTATTTACTAATTAACTTTGTCGATCAAGGGCCCAAATGATTCGAACGAAGTCGAATCAAGGGCCCAGATGACTCGAACTTAAATCAGGCAAAATACGATGAAGCGTCGCTTCTTTCCGCCTCACGCTTCATTGCCTAAGCCTCGCTTTAGGCGCTTCTACATCGCCTCGCCATTTCGCCTCGCCTCAGTACACATGAAGCGCTGAAGCCTCGCCTCGCTTAGCGCTTAGGCTTGCCTCTGATAACACTGAACCAATCGATGACCTCCATCTAGTCGCGTCTCTCACTCGATCGTGTCTTCGACCAAATCGCGTCTCTCGCCTTCTCGCCTTTTCACCTTCTCGCTCTTTTTCTCTCGCCTTTTCGCCTTCGCTCTCTCTCTCTCTCTCTCTCTCTCGCCTATTGGCCTCCTCTCTTGCCTTTTCGTCTGTCTTATCTTATACATAGAGCATCCCCAGAAGTACCCTTATATCACCTCCTTACTCAAAATAAGGGATTTTGTTGTCAAAAAAACACTCCCATCAGATCCCTTAACCCACCCCCCAAATAAAAGTATTGCTACAGTTGCTCCCCAAATGTAGGGAGTGACTGTTCATCCCCCCAAAAATATAAAATTATTTTTTATTCAACCTTGAGCATCTCCATCTCCATCTCCAAAAATATAAAATATAAAATAATTAAAAAATAATATTTTATTAGAATAGAGAAAGAAAAGGAAACTCATTGGGGGAAATAGAGGAAAAAATTGATTCCTAAAATAGGAAATGAAATTTTTAATAATATTTTAGGGTAAATTCTTATTTTATTTCGTTTTGAAGGCACGCCCAGACGTCCCTCGGACATCCACCCGGTCGACCGCCTAGTCATTTGGCTGGTTGACTGCCCTGTTTGTTTTCTTTCGTTGCAGAAGCTATCTTGCATGTTGTGTTAAATTTAAAAGTAATGAAAAATATTATTTTAATAGAATAGAGAAAAAATAGGAAGTTTGTTGGGAAAAGTAAATGAAAAAGTGATTCCTAAAAATTGGGAATGAATTTTTTAATAATATTTTAGGGTAAAATTTAGGTAAACTGGTGGGGATGCTCGAAGTGTATAGAACTATATATGAGATATATATGTATATATATATAAGATATAATACTTATAATATATATAATATATAATACTTATAATATAACACATATTTTGCATTTTATATATTTATACATATTAATAAAAAAATTAATAAAAACTCATTATTTAAAAAATAAATTAAATAATTAATATGTATTAAAATAAAAATATTTATAAAAAAAAAATTTTTGCCGTGTCCCCGCCATGTTGGTGTCCTCATTTTTTGAAAATTGCTGTGTCCCTTGTCCGTGTTTGTATCCGTGTCCTTGTCCATATCCGTGCTTCATAGATTCACAACAAAGTTCAGTAATGCAAATACAAGGCTATAGAAAGCAGAAGGAAAAAAAAAAAGTATCATCCCAATATCTTCCTTAAATATCCAACAGCAGCAAAACCAAACTCCTATGAAGACAAGAGACTGAGACCAGACCACAAAAGTAGGGGTTCAACCAGCAAGGGCTGGGGTTAAATTACAACCTGCTTTGTAGATCTCAAGGTTTATCAAGATGCAGGGGTGCCAGAAAGAAAAAAAAACAGAAAAGTAAAGAAAATGTGGAGTAAACTGGAGCTACAATTCTCATCCTCAACTCAGCAAGCAAACTTAAGTTTTCAAGTAATGTGCATGCTGGCAGCTGGTAGGGAATGTATATATATATAATCAAATATGTACACATGCATTCAATACTTCATTTAAGTTCCCAATAACCACATCTTCTTAAATTGGTATTAGAACATAAATAGGAGAACAAAAACAATCGTTAATCTGAAGAAAGGGTAGAGGGTTAACATTACCTCATTCTTGCTCAATATATTATAAATACAAATACACATCTATCTATCTATCTATACTATATAAGCAAATTTAGTGGAGCGTGAGAGTTCTCCAAACTCCCAATGCTAACCTCTTAGGCATTCTCTCTCCTACATGTCTCAAGTGTACTTCATCCCTTTCCCTAATTTTTAATTATTCTAAATAACTTAACAATAAAATACAAATAAAATCAATTCTAATCTGATATAAGAAATCAAAAAAATTAACAAATCTCTAAAATCACTTCTGATAAGATATAACAAGCAGATAATTAACAAATTAAAAAAGAAATAATTGAATTTTTTATTTAATCCTCTAAGTAATTCCTATCGCTCTATCTACGCTGTCAAATAAAAGATCAAAAACTATGGACAAAGTTCATCAGTGGTTCCTATATTTTGCCCCTTATGTCATTTTCGTCTCTACAATTTCAGTTGACTCAAATTTGATCTTTAATTTTAGATTTTGTGTAAATTTGGTTCAATTGATGATACCGTTAGTATTTTTTATGGAAAATTATCACTAAATTGATTGAGATATTTTTTTTTTCTTTGGATTGGCATTGGGGTGTCCGGATCAAAGCTTGACTTATCCCCGGGAGTGCACAAGCTCTTGGCAAGGAGTTTCCCGCAAGTGCACTACGGCTAATTCACACGATTTCAAGGGTTTTACCCCTAGTCCGATGGCCTCAAAAAATTGTTAGCACCAAAGAGGTTTTGATCCCTAAACCTTGAAGGGAGTACACCCCTAAGACCCAAGCCCTCGCCACTAGGCCAACCCCTTAGGATTTGATTGAGATTAACTGACTGAGTTGAGTAAGTTTATTATTTTACCCTTCAAAATACGACAAATATTACTTATGTGCGTATTTTTCATAAAATAGTAATAATCAATTGAACCAAATTGAGACAAATTTATAAATTCATTTTAGGATCAAAATTGAGCTAATTGACATTATAATGACCAAAATGATATAAGAAGCAAACTGTAGAGACTACCGTCGTAATTTGGCCAAAAAATATTCAAATAAAAAAGATTACAATCTAGATAATTTTTAAAATAAAAAGATGACTATTTAGATATGAACAACAAAGATATAGAGATAAAAATATGTAAGCTTAGAATATTGTAAAGAGAGAAGGTTCTCTTTTTGTCCCTAAGATTTGATTATTTAAGTGTACATCGAAAGGGAGAAAGTCAAAGGATAACATATAGTTTTTTTTTTTTTTTTTTCCTTTTTTGATTGGCACTAGGATGTCCGGATCAAAACTCAACTAATCCCCAGAGGTGTATAGGCCATCGGCAAAGAGTTTCTCGCAAGTACACCACGATTTCAAGGGTTTTACCCCTAGTCCGATGGCCTCAAAAAATTGTTAGCACCAAAGAGGTTTTGATCCCTAAACCTTGAAGGGAGTACACCCCTAAGACCCAAGCCCTCGCCACTAGGCCAACCCCTTAGGATTTGATTGAGATTAACTGACTGAGTTGAGTAAGTTTATTATTTTACCCTTCAAAATACTATAAATATTATTTATGTGCGCATTTTTCATAAAATAGTAATAATCAATTGAACCAAATTGAGACAAAGTTATAAATTCATTTTAGGATCAAAATTGAGGTAATTGACATTATAATGACCAAAATGATATAAGAAGCAAATTGTAGAGACTACCGTCATAATTTGGCCAAAAACAATTCAAATAAAAAAGATTACAATCTAGATAATTTTTAAAATAAAAAGATGACTATTTAGATATGAACAACAAAGATATAGAGATAAAAATATATACAAAAATAAAAATATAACTATTTAGATTTGAACCACAAAGTGATATAAAAAATCAAATAAAAGATAACAAAATATTTAAATAAAGAATATTACAATTGAGATATAAATCCCAAAAGAATGATAAATTTTTTTTAACTAATCTATATGTATCTGTAATTATCTCTATTCGTATTCAAATAATCTCTATATATTAGACGCAAATGGCTATGAACATGGGAGCGGCTATGAACATCTGGAGTGACATGACATTCTCAATGCCATGGATACTTTCTCACAAGTTTACATAGCCACATTGAATTACTCATATCACTACTTTTGGATATTAATAAGTGGGTAAACAAAAACATCTTAAATTTTCATTCCTCTTATTGATGCTATTAGAAGGTGTAACACTTTTTTACTGGTGATTGTAGTCCACAAGTATATATTAAACTTTATTTTGATTGTTTGGTTACCAATTTTGTGCACGATTGTTTTATTGGTCTTTTTTTTTTTAAATTATAGTTATCTATTTAAAATACTATTTGTATTTTGTATTTGTTTTGCAATTTTTTAGGCTAAAAATGTTGGTTTGCTTTTTTGTATTTTTTTTTGCCAGTAGGAGGGACCTTTTAGCTAACACTTTTTTTCCGCCTGAGTGGGATGAGAGAAAACGATCTAATTTTATTGGTTTTATAAAATCAATAAATCTTATGGCATTAAATTTGTAATTTTTCATATATCTTACAAAAAAATAAATGTAAATATTATATATCTTATTTATAAACAACGTATTATGTTATGCCATGCATAGCACAGGCCTTGCAGCTCCTTACAAGTTCTTGTCAAATTAACATTTCACATGCAGTCAAAGTTTGTTTTGTAATATGTTGACATGGCAAAATATTAATGAAAGAGACTGTAACGCCGGTTTTTTAATTTATTTATTTATTTTTATTTTTATTTTATTATATTTTATTTATTTATTTATTTATTTTGTAGCCGTTGGATTATGCATGCATGCAGGTGCAAGGTGTAAAATATAATTAAATTTGACTTAAATGCATACTCTTTGGAGTACCTGAACGAGATCAATAGAGAAGGAACAATAGAATAATTTTGGTATTTAACATATGATAACTAGAGATTTGATGCTATAGAGGTAGGTTTTGTAGAATTTCAAATGGTTTACACAAGAATCGGGATATGAATATGAAGTCTTATAGTTTGTCCTAACTTCAAAGTTGCAAATGCCAATCGAAATATCACTTAAGATTTCAATTGTAGAACTAGGGGTGTAAAAAAGGGTCGAGACCCATGGGTTGGCCTGAACAAAGCCCAAAACCCTTAAGTGGGGCCTGGGCTAACGTGTTTGAAGCCTTGCCTAACCTTTTTTTTTTTTTTTCTCTCATTTTTTTGATGTGTTTGAAGCCGTCTATGTTACATGCACCCGCACCCAATACTTTCTAAGCTTTCTAGGCTAGTCATCTACTTCAGTTTCTGTATTTTCTTAATCTTATTGCTTTTAGATTTGCTTCCTACTAGGGACGGACCAAACAAAAAGTGGGATAGCATTTCCCACTCTCTTTCTTTTCCCCTGTAACCAAACAAAAAGTGAAATTGCATTTCATTTTTGCTTTCCATTTCCCTCGTCAAATCGTCCAACCAAACACTGCCTTAGAGTCAGACTGATTTATATTCATTTCCCCAAAATCTACAACCAAACAATTACACCCTTTCGAATGCAGAAGCAACTATAATAAGACTAATTTTGTTTTTTTGGCATAAGTCAATTATTAGTCGTTAGATTAGTGCCTATGAAAGTTAGCATCTCCACTTATACAAAACAGAAAGTGCTTGCCTCCTAATTCAACTATGTAGTTGAACGCATGACAACTATAATAAGACTATTAGTCAAACCTCTAGTGAGCCAAAATAAATTCCCATTCCATATTTTCATTTTTCCCTTCAAAAAATGTTTGCTACTGTCAAAACAGACAAAAACCACTTTCACAAGACCAAAAGAAAAAATTGAATATTTATTAAAGAAATTAGTATTTTAGACCCCCTCAAAATCCATGTAATTAGATTTTTTTCCACTCTAAAATCTAAAAAATTTTAGCGAAACAAAAGACTTACAGTGCTGCCACATATTCCCAGCAAGATCCTCAGCCATCTTGGTCGCCTCAGATGCTTTCTTTCCCCATTTCCCAAGCACGTCCTTCACTGAATCCATCGTAAAAAAAAAAAAAAAAAAAATCATAACTTTGAATGATTTGGTAGAACTAGATTTCAATAAGTAAAATTGAATTGGAGTGAGAGACACTGACTCTTCATGGAAGAGTCAGGGACCGGAGAGGGAGTCAAGTAAGGGTTGGACTCGGGAGGCATGGTGGTGGCGGAGTTGCCGGAGGTGGTCCAATCATGGGCCGGGGGAGCGACGTCGTTAGGGTCGAGCTTGGGGTAGGGAGCGTACTCCGAGGAGTGAGAAGGCTGTGTGTTGGGTTTGGTTCGATCGCCTTGGTTTTGATTCTCATTCTGATTCTGATTCTGATTCTGATTATGATTCATGGTGGGTAGTTCTGGTTGTTTGTTTGGATCGAAAATCAGATATATATATATATATATATAGAGAGAGAGAGAGAGAGAGAGTATAGAGAGAGAGAGCGCGAAGAACCCTATATTAGAGTAGAGTAGAGAGCGGAGAGTTGTGGGGATGAGTGTCTTGTGTATTCATTTTCAAAGAAAGTCAGATTTTTAGTAAAAAAAAAATTATCAAAAAATCAAAAAAAAATCCAAAGATTAAGGGCTTGTTTGGTTTGTTTTTGGGAGAGTTGTTTTTGAAAAAAAAAATTGGGAAGAGAGTTTAGAAATTTTTTTGGTTTGTTTAGTTGTATATTTTGAGAAAGTTGTTTTTTTGAGAGTTTGGGATGATTTGATATTTTGAGAGAATTTGAGTAGATGTGTATGAGAGAAAAAGTGATTGAGAATGAGAGAAGAGAAAGAAAAAGTGATAGATTGATGTGTAAGAGAGATAAAGTGATTTTGGAAATTTTTTGAAAAAAAATTCAAATCAAACAATTTTTAAAAATTTTTTTTTCTAAAACTCATCTCCCAAATATAAACCAAACGTACCCTAAATTTTTTACTAACTTCCTAAAATACTAAAAAAAAAAATGTCAAAGGGCTTCGTCGTCAGCCGTTGCTCTGGTTACTTATGGTGCGTTTGGGTGTAGTCTTTTAGTGGCTTTTTAGTTCTTTTATTGGTTACGGTATGAGATTGAAAAATTAATTTTTTATCGGCAAATTATCATACGAATTTTTTTCTGAGATTTGAGAAATTACAAATTGTCTCTTGAAATTTATATTTGCATAACAAATGAGGAAGCAATTTATTATGTAAATATAAACATCAAGAGGTAATTTGTTATGCAAATATAAATCTCATGTGAGAATTCGTATTTTAGTAAAACCTCAGAGGGTGTTAGTAATTTGCCCATTTTTTATTAAAAAAAAATATAAAACGTAGAATGACAGAGAATGAATATTTAATTTTGAAAAATTCTATTTACACAATAGATTTACCTATTTACACCCTTCGATTTTTTTATTTTTATTTTTTTGAGTAATTTTACTTACACCACTATTCTAGCTCATTACACTCTTTTTAAAAATTCAGATTTCTCATTACACGCTTCATAATACCAAAAATATTCTCATCCCTAAAATTTTCATTTCCCTTTACACCTTTTTAACTTTTCAAACCCTAATTCTCTACCAAACCCACCTCACCACTATTGCCACCACCCCCAACCATTCCTACCTCCAGCAACCATCCCAGTGCCTTCCTACCGACGACTACTCTTCCATCATCATGACCCCCCTTCCACCTCTCATTTCTCTTCTTTTTCAAAATCTGGGTTCTCTCTCTCTTTCTTTTTTTTCTTATTCTTCTGTGTATTCTGTTTATATATGTGTCTTTCTCTCTAGCAGGTGGTAAAAGAGAACAGAGAGATTTAGGGTTTATAAGTAGAAGAAGAAAGAGAATGAAGAGAAGAGAAGAGAAGAGAAGAGAAGGTGGTTGTGGTGGCGAAAAGGAAGAAGGAGCTGGAGGTGTCAGCGGAGGTTAGTGGCAGTGCATCGTGGTGGCGGTGATTCGATAAAGGGGTTGGAAAGATGATGATGGGTGAAGTGAGAAATTAGGGATGGTAGATTTTAGGGTTTGAGGGTTTTTTAGTAATTTTAGTTAAGGATAAAATCATAATAATATTTTTGAAAAATATTTGAGTGTAATGAGTTAGAATGGTGGTGTAAGTAGAACTACCCCTTTTTTTCCCCTTCAATTTTACCCATGTGGGAAATTACTTTCAAGGACAAAAGACTAAAATTTTATTATCTCTTTAAACCCATTACATTTTAATCCGTACCTCCCTTCTTTCCTTCTCAGTTTTTCTTCTTTACTGTACATCTCTTTCCAAAAAGTGAAAATCATAGTGTTTTGCTTATAGAAGAAAGCAATGAATAAAGAAATAGTGGTGAAGAACTAGCAAAAAAGTGAAATAGTGAGTTTTTTTTCTTTGTTTTGTAGGTTTTCGTTTTGTTTTTTTGAGAGAGTTGTTCCACTTTTCTTCGGTGTGTCATAACTGAACAAAATAAAATAGTCCGAAATCACACTACTGAACAAAAATTGTGTCTAGTAACCCACCGTCGAACAAAAGATACATATAGCGGTTCGGGTTAAGACTTGACCGTTTCTACTATTTTATATTGGATTTTATTTTTGTTTTTGGGTTGTATTGTACTTCTTTGAGCTTTATTTGTCATAGGAAATCTTGGTTTTAAACCTAGTGACTTGGCAGTAGTGTTCTGTGTTGAAGGATTGCGATCGCGATATTATAGTCACATCCACGAAAGCTGAAGGTCACGCCCGTAATGGGCCTCGACCAGGCCACAATCAAAAGCTACCTTTAGGTCCTTAGGCTTTGAGAAGTTGCGTGGCCCACAAGAGGCTGCGAGAGTAGCCCGCAATCTACTTGGTTGCACTCACAATGTGTGTAATTGCGGCCACAACTGTGTCTTCCGCGCCCACGATGGTCCAGAATATAAATAGAACCTTAGTGTGTGAAAAAGTTACTTTTTCATCCCTATCTTCTCTCTTACTCACTCTCTAGCATTTTTGGACCTTTAAGCTACAAAACCTTGGGTTTCATCTATTCTCGCTCATTTCCTACCCCTAGTGTTAAGACAAAGGTAGAGTGTGTAAAGGGCGCCATTTTAATCTAAGACTTCCAAGTTTTCGTTCCCGTAGGTTTTTAAGTGTGATCTCTTTTCTCTCTTTGTTTTGAGGTAGGGATTTTCTTAACGATGTGCATGTTATTTAGTGTTGTTATGTGTTATTCTTGATATTTAGGAATTTTGAGAAAAGCTAGGGATTTAATTATATATACTCTATTGCATAAATTGGGGAGAAACTCTTAGGTTTTGTTTAATGTTCAGATTGACTATTTTGTAAGCATGTTGTGGCTTTGAAATTGAAGGAAAATGTTGTTTGAAAGAAAAGCCCCAAAATTTCTAAAAAGCTAGAAATTTTGTGTTGTGTTATTAAGACAAAACTGATGGATAGAAATGGTAAACTCTTGTGGGTTTTGATGAGCTTCGGGTATTGAGAACAATGAGATCATTGGAATAACATTTACTATTTTGAAAATTGTGAGATTATGGATTATGCTCTATAATGTCTTTCAATTATCATATTAAACATAACTATTTTGGCTATCGAAAGAGGATAACATTGTCGTGTTGTAGAAATTGCATGGGAATTAGGTGAATTGAAATATTTATAACTCATGCATTCCATTGAACATATCATTTAATAATTGGTTTCATACTTGTACATTTTGAGTAACTCTTGTAAAGTATATTTTTGAGAAAAATGGGTGAATACTATGGTGAATCTGTGTAGGGAGTGTGTTTGTGGATAATTAATTTGGCTTTAGGCCCATGGTGAAAGTCTGAAAACCTATGCGGTTAGGTGTCAATTCCTTCCAATTAAGAGCTGGTAAAGTGGCTATTGGGTAGGGCCTTGAGAGCCTCCTGCAGACACTAGCTCTGCAGACACTAGCCCTAGGGATTTACAGTGTTGTATTTGTTGCCCTATTTTCTGATTTAAAGAAAGTGTTTTGAATGTGGTTTTGGAATTCTTGCATGGCATTGTTTCAAAAGGCTTAAAACTCATGTTTTTTTGGATGGTATTTCATATGTATTTACCGTATGGCAATCATACATGTCATTAAAATTATCTTTACTAGACTTTTAGCTCACCCTATATGGAAAACTATTTTCAGGTGTTGACGGCATGCCTCTGCCAAGGTGATGACTTGAGAGGATCTTGGAGCTTAGGACTCATTTTTGATATTTTCTTTTGTAAAGTCAAGGGCTTCCTTGTATTGGATTTTATAACTTCTTTTGTTGTAACTGGACTATGCCTTGGAAATTTGTAGGCTTTAAGGTGTGAACTTGATAGTTTTAATGTTGTTTACTATCGATCACATGCTATAGATTCAGGTTTTAGAAACAATGAATGTGTTGATTCATATGATATGATTTTGTAAAGTTTAAGGGACTTCTTGGAATGAAATATAATTTTAGAAACGTTTCTAGTATTAAATGATTAAGATTAATCAACCTTCCTCATGTTTAACGAAAAATATAATGAGTGGTTCGGTATCTATATTTTTGAGATGTTACAATACATGTCTGGTAACCTACGGCCGAACATTTTTCATTTGTTCAGTTATTTATTTCCGTGCATTTCCAATTTCATTTTTATGATATTTTTGTGTTTTTGCTTAGAAGGATTCTACTTCTACTTATCTTCAGATTTTTAGTAGTCGACAAGCTTTAATTAAATGGGCTTCTGACGTTGGGAAGAAGATTAGATTTGCCATTGTCATAAGGACATCATGTGAGAGGTAATGGAAAAAAAACAACACTTACACTTGCTTGTGAGAGAAGTGGCACTACAAGAAAAGCCCTTATAAAACAAGGAAATTTTTGCGACGCGTGCGTTTCCCGTCTCAAAAAATGATCTTTTACGACGGCATTTTAAACCATTGTAAATAAATAGCTTTTGCAACGGTAGTTACCCCGTCGCTAATAAGCATACAAGAAAAGGTGTGTTAAATACAAAAGTATTTGCGACGCCTTGTGTACCGTTGCAAAAAGAAATTTTTTGAGAAGGGAGAAATTTACTGTCGCAAATAGTGGACAATTTGTGACAACAATTGTTCATCGCAAAAAAACCCTTATTAAAACGGCATCATTTTACCTATTGGATTTATCATTTGTGACGGTTTAAATAAACCGTCGCAAAAAGTAATGAAATTTTTTTGAAATCCCACTTCTCTAGCCCATTGGCGCTCGATCGTTTTCCCCCAAAATCCCTAAAACCTTTGAAGCAAGATTGTTTTCCCCCAAAATCCCCAAAATCCCTAAGATTGTTTTCCCCCAAAATCCCTAAAACTAGTTTCTTGACGAGCGACGACAACGAGTGTTCACCGGCGAGTGTTCACCGACGATTTCTTTCTCGACGAGTGACGATGGCTAGCAGTCTCAATCGCTCTTGACGACAGCTAGCAGTGGTGCCGGGTCTTTGTCTTTCTCTTGTGCGAGCTCAGTCAGTCTCAATCGCTCCTCTCCCACTCACTCAACGAGTGACGCCTGTATGCTCTCTC